TTCAAAGAGCAAGTTAGGCTTTAAAATAATGATTCTTCAAAAAAAGGCAAAGGTTTTTTGTTAGGTACAAGGTCCGTTACTTGTAATTAGTGCTGCTTCTACAACTTGAACAAAAAAAAAAAAATAGAAAAAAAAAATTAAATACAAAAGCTGTAGCTGTAGTGTTTTATCTCTATTATTTTTGCACATGTCAAAACGGGCAAATGACAGGTGCCACTTGTCATAATGACAAACACTTGTATTTTTCTAATAAAACACACTGTATATTTTTAAATAGAAGATAGATTTTTTTCTTCTGATTCCAAATATACCATCAAATGTTGATATTTGTATTTACATTACCCTAAATTAGGCCTGCCCCTGGTTCCTTATATCAATAGTGAGGGTTACTTAATGGAATTTTAAACTCGAATAACGCAAAAACAGCTGTACCAAATATATACAGTGTGTCCCGCTTAAAAACTGACCACCCTTCTAAAATTTTCATTTTTTGACCGATTCAATTTATTTTTTGTTTTATATCTACTCGAATTTGGCACTTATTAGGCTCATAATTTTATTTCTGCAGCTGTACTGGTGTACAGGGTGTCTTCATTTATACGCCAAAATTTCAAAGGGATAAGGGATTTTCATAGAAAAAATCTGATAGCAAATTCCTGTTTAGAATGGTCTAAAACCCAAATGTACTAATTTTTGTTTCAATACGATACGGGGTGATCACAACAAATTTTCAAAATTTAATCAATCAAACCGCAAAAATGTCATACTTACTTATTCAAATTTGAGCCTATAGATGTGGACACCCTGAACACCAGTACAGCCGTAGAAATAAAATTATGAGCCTAATAAGTGCCAAATTCGAGTAGATATAAGACAAAAAAAAATTAATTGATTTGGTTAAAAAATAAAAATTTTAGAAAGGTAGTCAGTTCTTGAGCACTGTATATGGTATATTTAGAATCATAAAAAAAAAAAATAATAATTCTAGTCAAAAATATACAGGGTGTTTCATTTAAAAAATGCAAGTGTATGCCATTAGGACAGTTGGCACCTGTCGTTTGTCCATTTTGACATTTGCGCAAAATAATAGAGATAAACCCTACAACTTTTATATTTAACTTTTTTTCTATTTTTTCTTTGTTTAAGTTGTAGAACCGGCACTAATCAAATCATTATAAGGAACAGACCCTGTACATTAGAAGATTACAGAAAACACGACAAAATTGAATGTTCACTAAAAATGTTTGAATTTTAAAAGTCATTATACAGGGTGTCCCACGACATTTTTCCCAGGTAATAACTTCGGAACGCGTCATCCAATATAATTGAAATTTTGAGGATCTGGGTAACTTTTTGTGCCGCTTTTACCAACATCATCCAATTTCACCACTTTCGCTTCAATTTTGGTCAAGTGAAGTCAACTTTCGAATCTTGAATGTAACTCATGGTATATTATTGCATTTTTCGTTAGAAAATTAAATTACAAAATTGGCAATGCCATATTTGTTAAGGCTTTGTTAACCTTCCAGCGAGCGCGCTGTCGCAAAATTCACGACAAATGCGCATTATCGCTTTCCCCACTTTTGCTACTTAGTCGCACGCATCCAGCCTTGAGCTATTCCAGAGTCACTGTCACTCTAAACCATAGACGTATCGGGTGTTCTCAGAAGTTTTCATAACTCAGTGATATTTCGGAGTTTCCGTGGACCGTAAATTTTACGACACGCGCCTTAGTGTAAGTATATATTACAAAACCTACTTTTTTCTTTTTTTTTTTTTCTTGCTTATGTCGTTTCTTTTATAGCTAAATGTATGTTTTTCTCTCAGACGTACTCCATTATGGTTTGTAGGCCGCTTACAAGAAAAGAACTAGAAGAAATTGCTGAAGATTTTTATGATGAGCCAGAGCAAGATGGTGATACTTACATTCCATGTGAGAGTTGTTTTGTTCAAGAAAGTCAAATAGATGTTTTCAAAAGTACTCTCCTTTACGTTTTTGATAACCTTTCATCAATTCCCCAGTATTTATAAAAAGAAAACACTATTTACATGGAGAAACAATTATGACGTAAAATTTACGACAAGCGCCCGGTCAAATGAAATGACACAGCGCGTCCGCTGGAAGGTTAAAGAAAATGATAAAAAATTATACAGTATAGGTATGTAGGTACGACAACTTGGTTTCACTGTGCTCTGGAAAAGACCAGGTGGTAAAATCTTTTGACCACATTGCCTCCTACATATCGCTTCCTCATGAGTAAAATGCTGTTTTTCTATTGTAGGAACATTTTGCTGGAAGTTTAGTTTAATTATTTCAACATTATTTCGAAGTTTATTGTTAATTTCTTTGTAACAAAAATATATGTTTGTATTATATTTAACGGGGCGCATTTTTTTACCAATCCAAAGATCCAAAAATTAGCAGCACACGGAAGGGCGTATCTCATTTTTTAAAACTTTTCCCTCTTTTTTGCATAATGTCAAAGATATTTAGCCAAAACATATTTTATTTTCTACTTTACTATTATAGATCCATAATACCTAGGAAACGAAATACGTTAACACACCTATAACAACCTGATCCATAACGCCCGCTTTTGCGGGCGTTATGATCTATAACGCCCGCTTATAATACCTTAAGGTGTTTTTGTTGTTGTTGTTCTATTAATTTGCACTTTCCCCTAGGCAGCCACTAAATGTCTGACAGAAAATAATTTTCGGTCTAGCCAGGATTCGAACCCGGTCTACCATCAATGTTTCCCATGTAGTCCAGCGCGTTAACCCACAGGACCACCACCGTTGCCTTGCCTTATGAGATGTTTATAGATATATTAATTTATTTCGTTTCTATGTACAGGTCCTAGGTACAGGTACAGGTCACAGGTACAGGTACATGTCAAAATACAAAACAATATTCTGTCACACAAGTTTAACTGATTTTGTTAATAACAAATTGATGAAAAAACATTGTGTTGAGTAGAAAATAAAGCATTGTATGCACCACGGGGATTTCAAGATTATAATGCCCTTCAGGCGAAATATATCCCTCGGGCCATAGGCCCTCGGGCTAGTTTCGCCTTCGGGCATTATAATCTACATAATCCCCTTGGTACATAAATAGCTATAGTGCTTAGCATATGTATTCTTTTTCGGACTGAAAAAACCAAACTACAGTCAAAAAAACCTTATTGTATTCTTGTGGCAGAAGTTTTGATTGTATCAAGAACTTGAAACCGCTCTCCTACAAAATTAGAATTTTTTAGATACGCCCTTTCGTATGCAAGACGACGAAATGTTATACCAGTATAAGTGATTGTGTCTTTTTTTTCCTAATTTTTATTAACTGATAATTAAAGTTAATAAAGGCCGATAAGTAGCAAATAACTGCCGGGCTGAAGTTTGTGCCAAAGGCTGTTATTTGCAGTTATCGGCCGTGTTTCATTCTAGATTTTTCGTGATACTGTACTGTTATCTTAACATAACATGAGCGAAATTGAAATCAAAAATACCAGGCCGCCAGCCGTTAAATTAACGGCCGCTAGCCGGAAGAGTGTTTTTTTGTCAGATTAAAAGATATCTGCAGTATAACGAAAATATTTTAAATAAATTATGCAAGAAGTCTTGCTTCTTGTAAATTTCTTGCGCAAGAAATCTTGTTCTTGCTCATCAGTTTCTTGTCTTGCATATTTCTTGCTAATCTATTTCTTGTCTTGTTCTTGCATGCAAGAACAAGACAAGAACCAGAAAAACCAAGACAAGAACAAGAAATACCTGCAACACTACCTAAAACATTGTTATTTAAAGATTTTTTAAATTTATTTCGCTATCAACTAACATTCTTAGCCTCCGTACAAGGAGGAATACACTTCACAGCCTTGTCTCCAAATCACTCATGATACCAGCACAACTTAGAGTTTGAAATTGAACTGGCACTCCTACTTCGCGATGAAATCATGGTTTCTCTACTTCTTCTATCATATCCGTTATGGTGAAAACTACTTTTGTTGTGATATTTCTATCCACATCCGATATGGAAGCCGCTTCATCCACATTTCTCTAAGAAAGCTATCGTCCAACTTAATATCACCTAATAATTGCTTCATCCTACGAAATAATTGGGAAGGAGTTCTATCACCAAATTCCTCGGAAGCAATTAATTGATTAATCCTTTTCTGTAAGGATATTGAAGTTTGCTTGATTAATTCTTCTTTTAATTTGGAACAGGGATTAACTTGTGGAGGATCTAGAATAATGTCTCTAACCTCCAATACTGTATCTTGATCTAATGCAGCAATGACATGGTGAAATTTTGTATTTTCTGCAGTCATTCTCTTCGTAGTAAATACTGATTCAACTTGAGCTTGGAGTCATTTGCCCAAAAACTAGGTACTCTAATATTTACTGCTAAAACTGCTTCGTTGTTTTCATTCATGGCTCAAAACGGGGTCACCACTTATGTTGACTGAACACAATATTTGAAATTAGAAGATACTTCTTTGGGAGAATCAAGAGCAATTCAGTTATTAAGTTTTTTATAATTAACAAACCTTTCGTGACACCCTGTGTAAATTGATAACATTGCAATGTTACAATTCAGGCGACACAAAATACCAAACAGAAGGCAATCTATACGAATTAAGAAGATCTATACTTTGCAGTGGACATCTTGATTCAATTGATGATAATGACGTTTAGAAGAAAAAATACCCATTTGCCCAAAAAATCCAACGTCAACATGTGAATATTTGAAGTGTTTTTTTTTTTTTCTTTATATTCAACTAAATTAGTGATTAACTTAATCATTTTGAACCACGTCAGCTGTAAAGTTATAATTACCCTAACTCTATGTCTAATTTCACACCCCATCGCTGCAAATGCTTCTAATTGCATACTATCCAACCAAGAAGGATATTATTTTATACCTCTATTAAATTGGTAATTATCCCTTTATAGAGTATATAAGAACATAGATGCGATTGATTTGTTAATAATCAACCAAAATGGCTGGTACAAAGGTAAGATTTTTTTATTAGTTTCCACTAGGAGTAATTTTTGAACATTTTAGTCCTTTGATTTATTGTCAAGCTACACAATCGAAAAAATAATTCTAATGAGGACAGGCATTTTTCCTGCCACTACACAGAGACCGTCAATTTCTTATGTAAAACGGACCATGATATTTTTCATACAAATTATAGGGATAACAGGCATGGCCACTTTTGTGGTACAAAATTATAACGATACCATAAAGATAACGGAAACTTTGTTCGTCTGTTTGACTATTTTTTCTTCCCTAAGTAGGAATTTTGCATACAATATTTGGTTAAACTCGTTAGGATATAGTTTTTTTTTTTTTTTTAGTTAAAACGATTAATTTTCTTGTAAACATAAAACTGTTCATTCTTATTGAAAAATATCTTTCAAATAATATAATCAAGGATGCCACAAGTAAAAATTTGACCATGATCAAGCAAGATATCAGAAAAACACAAAAAATAATGGCAATTTACAAAGTTGGAGTCTTTCAAACCGTTATTACCTATTTTGCAAAGCCATTATTTGTTATTAATGAAGAATACAGGTTATACAAATAAGAATTTATAAAAGTTCCCCAAATTACTATTTTATTCTAGACTGCCAATGGCGAGCTACTTTCCATGGAACATAGAAACATCCACAAACTTTCTTTTCACCTATGTTTTGCAAGTAGTTCTAATAACATCAGCAGCTTTATTGAATACATCAATAGATGTTTGTTTTGCAATATTTTGCACAATCGTATCCACGGAACTTCGCGTTTTGAAAAATAATTTGATGAATATGGATTATTCGCCTTTGAATAGGAACGTCAAAATTGAGCTGAGAGGAAGTATAATGTTGCATAAAGAAATTTTAGAGTAACAATTTTTTTTTTCCTATCCATTTGTATTATTTATCTAAATATTTCAGGATGGTTGATGCGATAGAAAACCTATTCAACTACAGCATACTAGGGCAATTTTTTTGCAGCATCATTGTTATTTGTTTTTTAGGGTTTCAATTGATATCAGTAAGCTAAATGGCTGGCGTCAGTTTCATTTAACGTATTCTAGCAAGGCTCAAATTTCCTCTTATACTTTGGGTGATAAGTCAACTTCGCACAAAAGGCTAAATGATATAAATATTTTGTATGTAATGTAAATAATATAATTTGATGCCTTCTCTTACATTGCAATAATTTAGAAAAATTCAAGAAAATATAGGCAATTGTTTATTGAGATGTTGATAAAAAAAATGGATCTCACATTCAACAATAAGGGTCATTAAATCAATTTTGAATACTCAGTTATTAGCTACACATTACTACACTACACTTCACCACAAACACAGAGAACATTTTAATAAATCCAAAGAAATATTAGAAATTATTCGCTTCTGGGTACTAGTTTTAGAAAAGATTCAAAAATCCAAAAGAAAAGTCACACCCACTGTTCCTGGAACCGACCAATGAGAAGCAACCTTACCCATATAAATATGAGCTTCGTCGCAGAATAACGCAACTGGTACTTTATTGTATCATAAGTCCTCTGCAAAGAAGAATGACTTATTGTTACGTAAAAAGAAGCTCTCCTCCGGTGCAATTAGCAAGGTGCCCAAAAAATGTATTTTCGATCCTGAACCTGACAGTTTTAAAATTCCTGACAAAACCATCAATATTCCTGAAACTAAGAACGAGGATCTGAAGGGTGAGTTGAAAGCTGCGACATTACACAGCACACAATACACCTCAGTTCCTCTATCTATATTTCATTCTTCAGAAAAAAAAGTACGTAAAAGAAGAGAATAAAATTTTAACAGTACAACTCCATACAATCTCTCATTAGACTCGAACTCTCCTTCTAAATGTGTCAACGGCGAAGGTGCACATCCGGCCAACTACAGGAATTGTCCGAAGTGCCCTAACAACCAACACCAGCTCAAAGCTCTTCTTTCCCAAGAGACAGCAGCTCTATGCAAGACTACAACCCCTTCTGAGTTAGGTATGCTCAAAAAAATGAAAATGAATAAAAATATCAATATATACGGTTTATAACGTTCTACGTCTTCCAATACCCGATATCCAACCATCTCTGTCAATCCAGGCATCTTCCTCTAAGCCTCTGCCTGTCATTTCTTTGTCTACTCCACTTCTCCAGCTTCTTCTTGGTCTGCCGCGTCTTCTTCTTTCCCCTGGCTTCCACTCAATAGTACAATAATTTGCTTGGGTATTCTTGCGTCTCATTACTTGCATTCTCTTTACCAGCCATTCCTGGTATATTGCGACAGCGTGCTGCACTGAGTCCACCTCTCCGCAGTAGACACATATTATGTCATCGGTCTTGCCTAATCTTAAGGTGTAGGACCCGTGTCCGGTGAGTATTTGAGTGGTGAAGTAGTCGATGTATCGGTGCTTGCAGGATAGCCATACACTTATATCTGGTATCAGGTGTTTGGTCCACTGTCCCTTTGTTGTATTGTTTTCCAACCTTATTTGCCATCTTTGAATGTTCCTGTCTTCCTCCATATTTTTTGTCTCTGAACTGATTGATCTTTCTTCCAATCTATCGCCATGCCTGTTCTTCAAGAGTCAAATCCAGTGGTGGTATCCCAGTAATAACCTGTAGGGCTACGTTTGACGCGGTGTGATAGCTGCACGCCACCCTCAGTAAGCTTTTTCTCTGAGTGTGCTCCATGATCACCCAGTATTTCCCTATTGCCAGTGTCCCGTACCAGATGGGTGCCCCGTATAAGATTGTGGACTGCATCACTCCGTCCAGCATTTTCGTTTGAATTGTGTCTGGTCTTTTTAAATTTGGCATAAGTCTAGATATTGCTGTCATTTTTGTGGTCGCTTTTTTGGCTACCTCTTCCACGTTTCTCCTAAAGGTTATGTCTTGCCCTATCCATATTCACAGGTATTTGATTGCCTTGGCGTGGGTTCGCGCGCCACCAAGGTTGAAAACTCTGTCCTGCCTGTCTCTTTTCCCACTATGCACTAACACAAGATTAAACGCAATACGTCATTAGAGTAGGTCGCCACCACACGGAAAACTTTTTTTCTTTTCGCGCGGTAGAAAAGAAAAAATCCATCGCGTTGACGGGGAATAGCAAGCCCGCAACTGCCGCCAATGAGCTCGTTGGCCCTCCTGACAAAGCCCTACCGGCACAGAGCCAACACGACTGCCCATCAGTTCAATGAGGAAAATATTGAGCTTCCAACTCAGTCGAGCAGGTTAGTGGAAAAAATTGATGCCATTTTCTCACAAAATTAACAACTTTCACGAAATGATTATCAAGACGTTATCCGATACCCTCTGGAACGTAGCTGGAGCGTTTTTTAGTCCAAACGGCATTCGAACAAACTCGTAATGGCCATTTTCGACATTGAAAGCAGTTTTGCATGTATCTTTATTTCAATTAAGGATGAAAGAAAGTTTGAATCAAAAAGGGAAGAAAATAAGTAAGTTACTGAAACAAAACAATCATGATTTTTGTAAACCTATAGACTAACGAAAATATAGCCTTGCTAGAATACCATAGATGCAACCGTTGACAGCTCTCATATGAGTAACTATTGAAATAATTCAAACAAATTTGTTTAGTCCGTTTCCGATGAGGAAATGGATGCTGTTGGAAAAATATCTTACCTGTATGCATGTTTAAGCTATTTGTGTTGTATGCTTCTCCAAGTGAGCATTTATTGCATTTATGGGCATGATATTATGGCTGAGGTGAGATTCTTTGCTATTTACGGAGGCGTTATAGTCGTCTATCTTGAGGCGTGAATCTGTGCATTGGGAACGCAAACCCCCAAAAAATTGTAGAAATAAAATATACTCAAGGGGGATCATAGATAAGTTTATGCCCAATTTGATGAATGGATGAAATGTTCACGTATCAGATTTCACAAATTAAACTGAACAGCCTTCACAGATCTTCGCTTCAAAATGCACCACGATAACGCCGCCTCAACTCTACAAACACCCGAGATGAGAGTTAACACTAATGCTATTTCTACGACACGATTTCAATAAATAAGTTATAACTCAGTTAATATTGGACCTACACATAAATTAGAAAATGATGAGAATTCTCAGCAACCCATGGTTATTTTGAATCATTATTGGGCTATTTGACAATGTATGCTAACTTATCTATTAAACTGTCGTAAACAAAGCGCGAGCGTTATGTTTCTCTCGTTCCCAGGCGTTTAAATAAATAATATTTTTTTAGAGCTCTGACATAAATCAAGCAATCTATTTATCCAACTGGTACATTGCAGACGAATCAATTCGCAAAGACTTGACTATATTTAGAGAGTATGTTAAGAGGCCTATCATACTTAAAACGGGAAAAGTGGTAGCCTTGACTGCGGAAACTTTAGTAACAGTAGAACAATTCAAAATAAGCTATTTAAAAAATAAATTAGTAATTTTTTTCTTTTAGATTCTCCGGTCTTCGTATTCATTTTTAGCAGTCTTACTGCAAATCAACTAACAGGTGACATGTCCACATTTGAACACACTTTTTAATCACTTGATTCAACCTCTGTTAGTTCAAAGTTCAAGCTTACATTATTGTGTTATGAGCATTTTGCACGAGACGAGAATGTACTTGGGATGTAGAAGTCCGGTAATTCTTCAAAGTTGATAAAACTGGCAAATTGGAGCAAAATAGAAATTGAATTTAGAATACTTTACCACTATAATGCAACTCTATAATATGTATTCTATCAATAAAATTTTATAGTAGTGTTGTTCCAGTTTCTCTCATTGGGTTTTATTGAAATTTTATAAAATCAAGCAAATGAAGGCTGAGGTTAATTCTGCAATATGAGAAGCTAAATTGGAAATGGGCAAAAATCAAGTTAACAGAAAAACAATATTGGATCTTTACAAATTCACTGTGTCGGTTGTTGAAAATTTTTGCTGACTGGCTATTATTCTGGCAACTAAATAACACCTAAACATAATGCGCCATTATATCCAACTGTTTAAACTTTGACCAAATAAGCGGCAAAGCTAGCAAAAGTCATTTCCTACGGTAGAGAGTGTAAGAATGTCCATTTCGATCAGCAAGTCGTATGGTCAGCCACCGACCAAAACAGCCAATTACCTAGATGAGATAAAGACATGCAAAGTAATAAAAAAATTCTACACCAAGTGAATTTTGGAACGTCAAAATGGAATAACGTAAATTATTGGAGTCTGTAAGTAAGTCAATAAACACACTAAAAAAATATATTGAAATGTGCCTCAATTTGAAAACTTAAACCGTTACCAAAAAGCCAACAGATGGTACATATGTTTTCTGTGACCAAGATAACTGGGAAAGAAGTCATCCATTGTTTGTCAAATTATGTACAAGGTTGCAAAAAAAAAAAAAATTTTGATTTATGTTCAAACTGCGCTATTTCATTTGGGAGGCTGGAATTAATTTTAGTATGGGATATTGAGCTTTTGAATTTGATAAACTCTTATCTTAATAATTATTTTACCGATTTACAGCATTTTAAGCTTATTTTTAAACTTATTCAGCAGTTCCTGATAAAATCCTAGAATTACAACAAGAATGTAGTAAAAACAAAGACATACAATTCCAGAGACGAAATGTTTCATTCATAAAACTTCATAATATCATTGTTTTGAGAAAAATTATAAGTGAGATATACCTAGAAAGACAGCCTGGGAACTCTATAACTTGTTAGAAATAGAAAAATAATAGGGAAGAAAATAAATTTCTCTCTATCGAGAAAAGTTGCTCTCAATCGCCCCTATGCATCAAAAGACTTCCTTGTTGATGTTAGTTAGTCATAATTAATTTGTAATCATGATTAAATGAGGAAGACTGGATCAGGATAATTTTGAAAATAAAATTTGGCAACGTTGCAAAATATTTGTGTAATGAATTCATAAGGTTTGTTACGATAAATTCATCATTTACGTAACGTGTTCCATTTCTTATTTTCATTATAAAGTTGTATTTTTGCCATTTCAGAATCAGCAAAATAATAATTCATAATTTGTACTTTTGTGTGATATTTTGAACAATATAGTGAAAGACAATAATGCTTTCATATGCCTTTCGTAGCTGCAATAGCAGGCATGCAGTTGATAAAACGAAATCGACCGGAATAACATACCATAGGTTAGTAGACAAAATAAAAACAATAAACAGGGAAGTATTTCAAAAATTTATTTCTCTATTTCTTTATTTAAATAGTGTCTGGCTTTTATTCCATGAATTCCTATTATTTTTTTTCAAACTTGAAAAAATGCATTGCCAATATATCATATTCATATGCGTCCTCAATTAAAAGAAAAAAATCTATTACTCAAAATTTAGTATAATCAATTCTTATAAATTTAGACAGTCCGGACCTGACCTGGCATCCATATTGTTATGACTATTAGCCACGCCCAGTGCGCCGTTTATCTCCCTGCGAAATAATACTTATAGCGTCTCCCTACCATCCTAACTCAATGATAATAGTATTCATTTTGTAGTATTTTTAGTGAACATACCGAATTGTAGTTGTAGATTTTTTTAATTTTATTATAGCTTGTTTTTTTTGCATGATGCAGTTTTCATGATGAGAACGGACTCTAAAAACATAAGTTTCAACACAAAATAAAAAAGGACAGTTAAATTTTATTCAAATAGATTCAAGATTAAGACATGACATATTCGAGTTCAAAGTAGTGCATTTTCAATATTGCATTTTTTCAAGTTTGATGTTTTATTACCAGCCTTCTACTCTGAAATCATCCAGCCTCCTTTAAAAGCCAAAATTTTAATATGATTTTATTTTAAGTATGCTGTGTGGATCAAAATGCTATTGGGAGAGTATACCTCTTCTTTACATTGTTTACGATCACTGACTTGGGAATTCAAAAAGACTGTAGTGGAAAATAATAAATATAATATAAAAATGTATTTTACACGTTTATGAAGAGGCACTGGAACAAGAAAGAGAAGCAGTTAAGGACTCATCGGAGTCTGAAATGGACGATCGAGATGATGGCAAATAAAATTGAGACCCATACGGCGTTTTTCTCCCCCACCATTTTCCTCAGAAGGTAATAACAACGTCTAATAACTAGTATGAATATTTACAATCCTATATATTTTTTTTTATTCAATTTTCCAATAACCCGACTCTTTTATTTTCAGAAAATGTTGATTCAAGTTCAAGCGGAAAACTTTCAGTAAGCTCTCCTGTAGCAGAAAATCACGACTCAGAGAACAATCTCGACTTAGATTCTGCCAATGAGATACTTCTTCTTGACGACCAACAAGTGAATGGTATGTTATTCTTGTATTTATTGAAGTTACCTAAAATCTCAATTTTGTTCCTAATAATTCAAAAACGTTTTTTTTCTTTCAGTTGCTGTGGTGGGTGAAGATGGCAAACCAAATGACACCATTGTTGCCAAAGTAATTGATATTGAGGTGTCGAACAATGATTTGATGGAGAAAACTAAAAAGCTGGACGAAAAATTAAACTTTATTTTGGTGCGGTGGAATAATCTGGAAATTGCTGGTTCAACTGCCACTAAAAATGCGGTAGCTGATTTTTCCAAGCTTCCAACATTGCCACTATCATCAAAAAAATACCATCAGTTGACTATAGGTGTATCTGTTTGTGTATTCGACCTGCCACATTAAGAGGAAACATTATTTGGCGATTTAAAGGCTGCAAAATTCTTGCAAAACAGGGTTATTACTAGTAAGACTATTAAATTGAGGTCTAGCAAAGGATATATAGTCAGTATGTTTTTGTCAATATTTTTAAGATTCCAATCATGTAGTCTTTATTTATATTTATGTAAAAGAAGGTTGAGCTCTGTGAAAAGTGAAAAAATATCTTTCAGTTCCCAGATCTGGATTACTTGCAGAGCAATGAGCAATCTGTAAAATATGCACCAGCTATCCCCACACATTGTTACAACTCTAGTGGGACGCGGATCTTGTAAGCCCGAGAGCCCGTTTTTCTAAATTTTACTGGCAATTATGCAGGATCGTTCCAATAAAAAATCATATTCATCTTATACCTAGGGTATCCAGCTATAATTAAAATTTCACTTATTTGCATCGCGATATATTTTAAATACTATATACTTTGTAATAACATGATTTCTGGTGTGTGTGAATCAGATTTCAACGCGTGAAAATCAGCCGCATTTTGGGCTATAACTAATAACTAAACTTAAAAGAAAAACTACTAGGTGGAAACTCCCCTAAGTACTAGACTCATCGCTTTGTCACCTGATGTGACTGTAAACTTCAATGTTAGATAAATAAAAGAAAAACCAAAAACATATTCCTGGTTAAATTACAAAATATTCTGTTGAGACTCTTCGGTTAGACTGGTTAGAGCAAAGTTTACGTTAGAGGTTCCGGAGCTCCCGATTTTTCGACCCCCACTTCATGGGTAATAACGGCGGTGTCATTACGTTAGACCGGTTCTTCCAAAGTTTTAGGGCCTGTCTATAAAGTAGAATGGACATGCAGCAATCACAAATACCAAGACTATTTGCCGATATTTTAGATACATCGACCATATATAACTTTATACGTAAATAGTAAATACCTACCTATTTGCATATCTCTATAATACGTTTTAGTTTTTCAATGGCGCGTAGCGGCAGTAGAGTAGAGACCTGGAAGGGCAAGATTACAGGGAACACCAGTATATTTCTAGATATTCAGTTATTGTTTCTTTATTACAGGAATGGTTGTTACCATAATGGTAACATCCTATTGTCGATACAACCCTTCGGGTAGCCTCCCTACAAACCCCAAAACTAAGATGTTGCTTAGAGAAACCAAATCAGCCCCACAATAGAAACTAGGAAGCCTGTACTGTAGGTCGGAGTCTGGGTCGTCGAACGGATAACGCTAATCCCAGTTAGGCCAGATAACTCCCAACCTTAATTAGAACGAATATTTTTGTTTCATAAATGTAATATTAGGTTATTTGTTTGTATGTATCAGAATCCAAGCTGTAGTAATTATTTTGATTTGGATATTCCTAGTTAGATAGCCACAAGAACTCACTCGACTTTTCTCAGACACTAATAAATCGAAAATACCTATAGCTGCCTTGAGCCTAAACAATGGTTTCATTGGCATTTGGGACGCGAGAAAGTTTCAGAAAAAAATGTCTCGGAAATTCTCGCCTGAAAAGAATACATGCATGACTTTACACGAGAATGACAATGTTTACGCTATTGGTAATCGATATAATTCTGTTTTATTAGATTGCCGAACCCTACAGGTAAAAATACATCTATAGATGTTTCATACTTTGGAGATTTTCCCTGGAATTAATCCCAAAGTAGGATGCGGAATGTTAAATGGCGCTTTATTATAGATTAGATACTAGTGTAACCCAGGATTTATTTTTAGAGATGACAGTCAAAATCATGGACAAAATAGTGCAGAAGGGACATCAAATAAAATATTTATCATATAAATGATGTAGATAATAATCAGCCTAAGCCAGTTTGTACCTCTGATATACAAAATTATGAAGTCTTGTTACTAAAAAATGATTCATTCATTGAAAAAAAGAAGTACCTCTGATTTATCATCAGCAATAGCTTCAACCTCATCAGCCTCTACACTAATCGAGATAGTAAATGACTCCGTAAATCAAAATGATGGTGCAAGACGCAAAGAGATTTTGAATCTTAATCTATCTGAACCATTGGAAGCAACGCCTATGGGAAGAGTTATAAAGGCACTGTACAATTTTAAAAAAAGTCCTAATAGTAAATGCCAGTCATATTTAGTGGAAATAATCGTTCAGCACTTTAATATTGCTGTACCATTTAGGTAAGACAGCAGTTTTGTAGTTTATAATTTTTTGTGTTTTTTTTAAACATGCTTTAGTTTTTTTATACTTAAATCTTTTTTTTTATTACAGAAGACTAACTAACGAAGACTTTCGGAAAGAATATAAAAACTCATTGTTGAAGAATTTCTAAATGAACTACCGCACGTCGATTTCACTTCCCCAATAAGGAAACGGAATTCACGGGACTTCTGATCTTTGAATATGGGGATGGTAACTTGATTAGGTGGCAGCACATCTCTTTAAAAATTACAAGAAAGCGAGGGGTTACACCTGGGGAATAAGTTACGTAGAGCACGGCACATCTGTAAAGTGCAGTAAGCTGTGCAGCTTCTTAGTGAGTCTGTTGCACACACATTAAAATACTGTGGAAATATTTTGCAAATAGATGAATTTAAGGGTTGTGGAGGTATTGTTCGCTTTTCAAACATTTCCAACAATATCTTTGATATATTAAATAGCATAGATCTATTGTACTGCCAGGATTCAAAAAAGCTAATATGCCCAAAAAATATACAACGAAATTCTGATTTTATAAATTCTGCAATAAACTACATTTCAAATTAGCTTTTGTTAATGAAGAGTTAGTCATTAACTCGAGAAGAGAAACTGGTTTTCTTGGCATCATAGTTGATTTAAAATGCACATTAGGCTTATATTATAATTTGGTACAAGATAACGATTCATTAATCTATTTTTCATGATGAAAGACAATAATACTAGTTTAGCTCTAATGCTGGCGTCATCAGCAGCTCGCGTTTTACTAGAGTCAGTCTTATTCGAGAGCGAATCTGAAGGCGAAGATGAAGAGGTCTTAGAAGATGCTCAACTTCAATATCACAGCGGAGGAAAACCAGTGAGAATTGAATTGTATTATGAGTCAGTAATACCTCGGCTAAATGATACACAGTTTCAGTCATTGCAGGTGAGGGTGAGCTACCAGATACCTACCCACTTATTATTTTCTTATGCATTGGGATAGCAGTAGTATAATATGAAGGTTTATTTGAAGTTTTTGTTTTTATTCCAGAATTCCTCGTGAAATATCAGTAATTTTGGAGAATGCCATATCACGCTTAATAGGAGGTCTCTTCAAAAAGTTTGTGCCATATTGTGAAATATTGCGGAAAGTAAAGAGAAAAAAAATATCTGTTCTTGGTAAGTTTGATGTAATTTTGCATTATAATATTGGAAGGCATATTTTGAAAATGAATGTTTTGTTTTAACTCGTGATATGTGGAAGTGATTCTTGAATGTTTATATTTTGAGGTTATGTGATGAAAACTGTTAAAATATCATAACCTTTACTCATCATTTTTGATATTTTTTGAAATTGTTTCTGTGCATACTGAGTAGACAATGGACAGGAGAGAACTGTCCAAAGTCTCCTGCCTGGCTTGTGATGCAAATTTGATTTCTGTGTTTTTTTGCTTTGTTTTTGCGTAGTTATACAAAATGTATCAAAGTGACTATTATTTGAGTTTAACTGGTGATGTTAAGTGCCGATATGATCGGAAAATGGAAATTATAGACAATGTTGACCCCTATGCAATTCCAGTTGAGGAATGCAAGCTTGATCTGTACAAACTCTCGAATATTACAATGATGGATCTAGTGAACTATTTAATTCTAAGCCACAGCTTTTATACAGGCCAACAGCTCTAGGCTTATAAAAGCTTGCAAGCTTACAAGCAGTTTGAAGCTGGCTCTGTTCGAGGAGTTTTGGCAAAGCAGTACAACGATGATGCATTTGTTGTCATTGCTAAGGTAATAATAGAGAAATAGTTATTTATTCATTTTGCTTTACAGTGTTTACCAAAATTGAAATTAGTTTTTTCATATTATTGGAAATTGTTAATTCACAAAGCATTCAAACATGCCTATTAATATTTTTCTCTTTGTTACAGGTTCAACACTCTCAAAGAAAGAAGGAAAAATTACTCAAGGTTTGGGTTATTATCCTTAAGGATACGAGTATTTCTAGTGCCCACTGTACATGCATGGCTGGCTTATCAGAAGTCTGCAGTCATGTTTCGACAGTTCTATTCTATTTACACGCTCGTCCAAATACCTTGGAAGACAGTGGAACTGACCTATCCTGCACTGAACAACTTTCACTTTGGCCAGTTCCTCCAATGAAAAAAGTTGAAATGCTTAGAGTGAAAGAGATGGATTGGTAAAAAAAAAATAGAGCCAAAGACTTTGTCTCAGAAGCACGCTCCTTGTCTGGATAAAGAAGAACTTTGTACTATGTTGACCAAACTTCAGGAAATCGATATTCAGCCTGCAATTTGTCGATTATTGGAGCCATTTGCATCCCAGATGGCGATGGCAAACGATGTCTCTCAAAATTTGCCTCCAAGTTTAGACAACTGGTATTCTCCAAATATGGTCAGCAAATCATATGAGGAATTGCTAGCCATATCCAAAACTATGGATTTGACTTTAACTGAGGATCAATGCAAATTTATTTAGGCAACAACCCGAGAAGAGTCTCAAAATAGCACCTGGTTCAAATACAGAGCCGGAAAAATCACTGCTTCTAGATTTAAGGCAGTTTGTAGAACAACGATCGAGAAGCCTTCTTTAACGGTTGTGAAAGGTGCTTGCTACCCACAAAAGGTAATTTTTTTATAAAAAGGCAACTTCGTATGGAATCAAGCATGAAAAAATTGCTTAATAAAAGTACGAGAAATATTATAAAGACCAACATACCAACTTTATGTTGTCAGCAAGTGGATTCATAATATCCCAGAAGCATCCTGAAGTTGGTACATCCCCTGATGTTTTGGTGTTATCTTCCTGTTGTGGTTTGGGATGTGTGGAAGTCAAATGTCCATACCTATCAGTAGATGCGACAAGCTTCGAAGACTTTGCCTCTAAAAAGCATACCTGCCTAATTTTCAATGAAAATGAATATTCTTTGGACCACAGCCACTGCTATTATTATCAAATGCAATGTCAGATGTTTGTGACCTAAGGTAAATATTGCGATTTCGTAATATGGTCCAAAAACTTATTATTTGTTGAAAGAATATGGTACGATAATAACTTTTGTTTGGAAAATATCAAAAAAGCACTTGATTTCCATGCATACGTAATCAGACCAGAACGTTTAAGCAGGTACTTTACCGAAAAAGCTGGAATGGGTAAATTAGCACTGTGGTGTTCGTGTCAAAGGCCAAATGATGGACGATAGTGACAATTGTGACGTGAAGTGGTTTCACTTTGAATGCATAAACATATCTGAGACTCCCATAACTTGGTTTTGTGATAATTGTAAATAGTCTTTATATTATAATATAGTATATTATTCTTTGTATTATATAGTATATACACTCAGTTGCAAAAAAATGGGCCACCTATTATTGTTTGAAAGTTGGCTATGTTTGTTTAATATTCTGGCTTATGGTTAACACTTTTGATTTTTTTAAAATTTGTCACTTCTAAAAATGTATGTTCTACGCAATGCAAATTTTCATAATTGCCAGCTCTCAAAGTCACCTTTATAGTTAAAAGAGGATGTTGCATAATATGGCTGTTACAGCTGTATGTAACATCCTCTTTTAACTTAAAAGCGCTTTTTAAAACTTATCACTTTTAAAAATTTGTATTCTTAGCAACACAAATTTTCAAAATTGACAGCTTTCAAAGTCGCTTTTAGAGTTGAAAGAGGATTTTGCATATGGCTGTTATTCTTTAAGTTTTTTGTTGTATATGGGCATTTTTTACAAATTCTGTAATATTATTTAATATTAATTTTGGTTCTTGTTTTTTCTTGCGATATTGTAGTTATATAAATATTTTGTAAAATTATATAGAATTTACTGAAGCATTGTTAATTTGTTGTTGAAATAAACAGTTTTTTTCAGTATTTTGTATATACCCTACTTACCTTACTACTTACCAGTAACTAATTATCTACCTGTAATCTCAATAAAATGACGTTCAATAGAATTGTATTTTGTTAGAATTACAAATGAGTACTTATACAATTTAGAAACTTTATTATATCACAGTAAAAAACAAAATCGAATCAACAAAAATTAGTTGAATTTTTATTTCGCAAATACACACCCCATAAAAATTATCGCATCACCTTCAGGAATAAACAATAAAGTTTATATTTGGAAAAGGAGGTTTTCACAGTTCGTCATAGATATTAAACAATAATACCTAAACAAATTCCTAAATTTGTGTTCCTGAAAGTATGTCACTTATACTGTATTTTTTCCCAAGATAGATTAAGACATTGTCAACTTTGAAACATAAACAATGCCGCTTATTGGTTGCAAGATGCCATCTGCACGAAATGCATTGTAGAACTGATTCCAACTTGCAGGGATACGGCATTTTGCGACCAATCAGGGCCAAGCGGTATCGTTTATTTTTCAAAATGTTCTACGTATGTCAAAATCCATCTTGGGAAAAAATACACCTTAGATAATGTTAACTGAAAATATAAGCAAAATATTTGCTATCAACAAAATATTTAAATAGTCAAAATCTAGGAAAATGATACTGATGCGATAATAATTATTGTTGTGGGGTTACATATTATTCTCAGCATAAATATTCCTTATGTTTAATTATTACTTCCTAATAAAATAAATATCTCATGCATAACAAAAATCAAAATATGCCAAGTTTCAGTTGGATGGTACTTGTGATTCATACATAGATATAAATGCACTACATACCACTACCATTTTATCCAATGCAGTAAGACAGTTTAATTTTTTTGATACCATACTAATGGGTATAGTTTCATGAAAAACCTTATATTTTTTTTTTGAGTAAACCTATAACTCTCTCCACATGTATTCGTACAGTTGCAATATTTCGTGTGTCATCTAAATCTGTGGGGTGCAACTGAGTTTTACCTCTTGTAAAAGCTGGTATTTTTAAATGAGCACCCATAACTTCAACTGAATCGTGGATCAAAAAACTTCTGTCAGCCAAAACTATGTCACCAGGTAAAATTGAATTAAGGAAACCACAATTTTCAGTCAAAAATTTGTCGCTTGATCTTCCACCCCAAGCTTCAGATATGTATGAAATTGTACCATGCGAGGTTATCCCAATAAGAAATTTTACAGTTTCATGATGTTTGTAATTTGACCAGCAACGAGAAGCATTCACAACATTAGATGGAGTTTCAATGAAAACTTCGAAGAAATCTATTATAACTATTACTCGGTTACCAAATGCTTTTCTGAAACATGCAGGAACATTTTTTTGCAAAACTTCTCGCTCTGGCCAATACACTACTTGCTTGAATCTGTCATAAAGTACATCGAGGGTTTTGTAAAAAGTTTCTGATGCAGTGGTTGGGCTCACGGCGAATCTATATGACAGATATTTGAATGGTAAATTCAGACGGAGTTTCATTAAAGTTAGTATTAATTGTTGAAAAGTTGACAAACTCTCATTGGGATGAGAAGAAAGATATGGCAAAACACACTCATAAATAAGAAATAACATGAAATCCTGTGAAATAAAGTGTTTTCATGTCATCATTTTTAAAACAATCTTCACCTAAATCAATAGTTTCAAGTTTTTTTTGTAACGTATAAATTCTTGAATTACAAAAGTTCAGGTTGCGAAAAACACTGTTCAAGTAATCCACAGATAAATCAGTTTGAACTGATACACAACATAATTGTCTCGATTTTCTATTGCTGAAATCTCTTGATGCGTTTCATATGAATGTAGAGGGTTTTCTTGAGGAACTTCTGCATTTTCAACAATTGCCTGCTCCGTATCGACTCCAGTTTGTACCTAAAAAATAAAGTTTAAGATACTACGAACTCTATAATATAGTGTTCTAATTAGTATGTTTCCAGAAAGAACATGGTTTAAATTCAATGTTTGTTGGACCAAACTGAAAACAAACTGAGTTCTTCAGAACTAAATAACATAAGTAGGTACCTCAGTTTCAATCTTCGCTCTTTTTGAGGACCTCTCAAATCTAGATAATGCAGATGTACTGGCTAGGTTGCTGGAAACGTATCTCAAATTCTGGCTGGGTCAGTCTGGATTAGTATTATCATCTAAGGCAGCTGGTTTTCCTGAAAGAAATCACAACTTTATCTCGGTTTATACTTAATTTCATAACTAGCTAAATAATTAGTTAAAACTGAAATATGTTTTTTTCTATACGAAATCCCTTACCTGTTATGAAATGTTTGGAACAAATACGACCATGTTTTAGCATGCTTTCTCTTAAAGGGCCTCGCTTCAAATCTCTAATCCAAGCATTTCTTCCGACAGTGCATTCAAATGCTCTCCTTTGTTGGTCAAAATTGCAGGAAATCGGAAAAATGACACCCTATCTCGCTCAGCACGTGTTGCACAATTATTAATCACACAACAAAAATGAGGCATTTTTGAATTAATTTGTCTGGGATTAAAAATTTAAAGATGAAAAAATTGCCGATGTTTATAAAGGTAACATGTATTTAAATGAGGTTGTGTTTGGTTGTGTGCCACCCAGCAAAAATGGCGGACCTGTCAGTGACGTCATTCTGGAATAGTTAATAGGGATTTTGATCCAAATGCCATGAAACGAGCTGTTCAAGTTGTGTTAATTATTCATCTAAGCATAAGAAGGAGCGCAGCAAATAATGAAATTAAAAAAAGTAGACATGCTCTATATGTGGAGAAGGCAAAAGATGTTGGAATCGACAACATTGAATTTAAACCAGACTTTTGCAAAAGCCAAATCCTCACTCCTGAAATGGAGGAAGCATTAGAACAATACTAAAGCGGCGTTTACATTGGTATAGTTACTTGTACCACCTTCTAGTACGAGTAACTAGCCTACCGTGAGCTAACCTAACGTCCAGGATAGTAGGCGTTTATACATACAATATTTTTTGCAATACTAGTATCACTAGTAGCTTTCAACATGGCTCTTTGCCTTCGTACAATTTCGCGTTCAAAATTATTAAATCAAATGAAAAACTGTATACATATATCAAAAGTTTCCCACTGTCTATTGCAAGAAATATTTGATATTTTTGATATTTCCATGAATCCCATGTGTTCACTAAACAATCGCTGGCAACTGGCACTAGCTCAAACCTGTTTACATTCGGCAAGTAAACAAGTTCAGTAGCGCGGATAGTAGATTTTATCGAGTGGGGGAAGGCTAACAGGCTAGTAAATAGCCCAGGGAGCTATCTACTTTCCTAGCTAGCCCACTGGTACAAGTACTGGTACTAGAAACTAACTATGAGGTTTACATTGAACTAGTAGCTGTCTTGCAGGTTACTGGTGCAAGTTACTAACTCATTTAATATACCAATGTAAACGCCGCTTAACTCAGGTCTGCAGCAATGTTTAATGGCCTTACACCCAAATTAGTGAGACGTTTGGGTTTGGCATATGAATATGCTACTAGAAACCTTAGAAAAATTCCCGAAAAATGGGAAATGGACAAAATGTCAATAGTCTTGGTTTACATATTTTAT